AGTAATACTCATTCACTCTTCACCTATTTCACATAACTACTTGTACTTTCTCATATAGACACTCACCACATTGGAGCTCGATCGCAACTACATCGGAGCTGAAGGAGCACAATATCTTGGTGATGCACTACAAATTAACACGGTAAAACTCATTCACTCTTAACCTATTTCACAAAACTACTTGTACTTTCTCAAATAGACACTCACCACATTGAAGCTCTGGAGCAACGAAATCGGAGACGAAGGAGCACAACATCTGGATGTTGCCCGACGAAATAAAAGGGTGAATTATTAAGCGTGTGTAGTGGTATCAATCAATCACGAACATATTAGTCTAGCGTGTAGCAAATGAACAAGTTCGATCTAGTAGTGTGTACTTTTGTTTTTCAGTAATCGAGTTGTATGCACAATATTGATTTTTATTGTAAGTTGTGCTTCTAAAATAATTAATTAAATGCAGAATTCAGTTTGCGGGCGCATTCTGTTTTATTGCATGGAATCTCAATCCGCATTGGGTCTGTGTATATAAAGGAAAAGCTTAAAGTACAACGAAGGAGGAAAGCTTAAAATAAAATGAAAATGGATGTGAGTAAATGAAGGTTCCAAAGACAAATCGGAACAATAAATAGATTTTAGTAGCACAAATAAATCCCTATCTCTAATATTTTTCTAGTCAAAGTCAGTTGTCCCGCTTATTCTATATTCGACAGTATTCAATAATGTGTTCGATAGTAAGAGCATTTTGGGTAAAAGTTTGATGTCATTTTGGATATTATTGTGGAAGATTTTTAGATCAAGGTGTTTATTATCGTAATACAGTGTTAATATTAGCATTAAATGGTTGATTAAATCTAGATAAATACGGGTCATTGTTATACTATTTGTTTAGTGTTGTCAAAGGTATGAACAAATGTAATATATGCCGCAGTACAAGATGTAATAATTGGTGGTATATGTTTATTTTTGTTCATTGTTAAGTACTTTAGTTAATTTGAGCCACCAAGATGTAAACGTAAAGAAGACCGTTAATTAACAACTAAACGACTTGTGCAATGTGGGTAGACAGTAGAATATTGTTTCTAATGGATTCTTTTGTTATTAATAAAATATCTATTCGATTAGATTTTTTAGAACTAATCAAATATTTGCTTTAGTATTTTTTGTTCTTGATATTGACTTAAAGAATGCATAATTCATTAAATAGGCTTCCCATAATATTACATGTGTTCAATTGGAGTTATGCCGTATAGATGCAGTAGTATAATCGTCAACAAACGATGCTTAAATTCACGATGTTGAATCAAATTTACAACAATAATTTTTATTGAATATGTACTTTGAAGCTAGTTGCCAATACTGTTGCGATCAAGTTTTGCACTGGAAGTGAACCAAAATTTGTAAAGAAACAATGCGTAGAAATATAAAGTCAATTTTAATAATTGCGATAATATTGAATTGTAAAGGTTGTTCTAATCGAAAGTTGATTATCCGCATTAGCTCATCTACTGCAGTATAAGTTTAGTTTATTTTATTAGATTCTTCGTCTTTAATATTGACTTGAAGAGTTTATAAGTAATCAAGTGAATTATTTGTAGGGTGTGATATGGTGATAACACCAACACCCACCGTATAGATTTTTTCATACTATTTCGTCTGTGCTAATTTTCGTTTTTTCCAACATTATTCTTCAAAGTCAAATAGCCAATAGAATAGTAAAAGATGGCGTAGGTGCATTTGTATAGACTAAATTAGATAGCAGATATTTATTCCACTGAGATATATTAAAACATAATGAAAATAATATTGATCATAAACATTATTCAAATTCTTTAATAAGTATAAGAAAAGAAAAGTACGTTCATGACGTGTATTTGCCTTTATTATGTATGAATATGATTCACTGATTGTGAAATTACATATAGAAAAATATAACAACCAATAGAACAAAGCAATTCTTAGTAAATAAATATTTTTAACTATGATATGAGAAGAGTCACACAATGAGTCAGTGTAAATTTTGTTAATACAAAAACAACAAGATTTAGGTTTTATATATTTATAATATGCCAGCTTCCATTGATGTCGAACTCATTTTGCGTACTATTGACGATGCTACTCGTGATTGGAAACAAAAATTTCAAACAACGACTAATGAATTATTGGAAGATATTGGGCAATTATTCTCTAGCTGCGTACAAGCCTTAATTGAACTATCAATCGCTACGGATGATAACGAGAAATCAAAAGAGGATCGACTTAATGCTGAACGTATTGTATCAAAACTAAAAGAATTAAGATATTCGTTAGGTAATCTATGGCCAAACAGTATGAATAGTTTTGGTAGAGATATTTTCAATGTTGATATATATCGAGTTGAAGCGGCCGAATTTTTTCAACCTGTTCCTTTTTATCCAAATGATGATTTCATCATGAAATTATATCGTTGGTCAGTTTATAACACGGATGGAATAGTGATTTATCGTTATTATTTAGAGAGAAGTGAAATGATTCCTGGACAACCGTACTATGTTCTAGGACGGTCAGAATCTAGTGGACATACTCAAATTCAACCATATGGAACTACTATACCAGATTATAATCAAATGAAAATTCATGTCATTGATGATTTAAAAGGTCAAGGTCCTTCGCCAATTATTTCATTAGTGTACCCATCATCTAATAATTGACATAACATGATGATATACGTGATAGTTTGATTTTTATAAAATACTTTTTCTTTTGCTATCAAAATGGTTTTAAAGATGAAGTCGGCTGTTCGAATGCATAAAAAAAACTAGATACATTCAATTTTATATTTTCAATTAAATTATAAAAATGACATTATATCTATGTGGTCTAGTTTTTGACACAATTTTGTTCGTATATAATATCATTATAAAAACATTAATTCAAACAATATCGAATTTGAAATAGTGCAGATTACAGTCCTATGATGAATTTTTCAATTATATTATAATAATCCCACTACGTATAATATCAATTTTTCAAACAAATGTTGATAAATTAAGACGAATATGTTAATCTTTTCCTTCAGGAAAAGATAATACTAAAAGATAACTTTATTATGTTCTTTGTATTTATAATAGATATGAAATAATAATGGATATATTGAAATTTATTTTTATTAAATCATAAATATAAAAGTGAAGAAAATAGAATGAAGACTCCATTCATATTTATATGTTAGCTTTTATCTTTTCATCTCAAACCGATTTATTAAAAATATACAATATATATGAGAAAAATGGTTTGTCATGGTTGATTAATTTTCTTTTTTTTCTCCTTTCATATCAAATCGACTTAAAAGAGACACTTATCGTACTTATTCTTTTTTATTTTTTTTGGTGTGAGTAACTAAGCCAAAAGTCAATATAATACTACTCAATGACTTCACAAACCATATCTGGTAAAGTTTCATCATCGGCAGCTTCAAAACATGTATTTGAAGGAAATGAAGTATTAAAAGTGTCAATTGTCGATGCATCGCTCGCTGATGCACCAAGCATACAATTAGGAAATCAAAATATAACAATACAACAAGGTCAATCATTTCCAATTCCATTTGAATTTTCTTACGATAAATCACGTGCTCGTGGAAATGGTAATGGTGTATTGGTAGAAGCAAGAATTACAGATAAAAATTATCGCCTTATTTTTATCAATGATACTCGAACGCAAGCCGTCGATAATGTAACCGTTGACGTAATACAAGTATAAATACATTCGAACAAACTAATTTTTAAATCATCATTTTTTTGTCAATTGAAGAAATATATTCTTAACAAATTTACTTCATATGTAGTTATACTAACTTAATATAATATTTTTATTTAGTACATTTTAATAATAAAAAATATATTTCATTAGTTTTAAAAGAAAAAAATAGAGACTAGTTAAAATTCATACTTAATAACATTTTCAAATAATTCTTTATACATTAATTTCTATCCGGTTCGTTCAAGATTATTGTACGGACAAGAAGATCTAAAAGTAATTTTTCGAAACTCGAATTTACGATTCTATTGATTCAAAGAAATAAGTGTCAAGCAAAAAACAATGATACATTATTATATAAAACACACCCACACACACCTTCGAAATGGTTTGATAGATAATAAAATGTGAGTAAATATTTTATTTATCATAGGTTTTCGTATGTAGATCCTACGCACATCTATTTCAAGAATGAAAGAGGAGAAAGTGGCAAACAGATGGTAGCTATGAATGGCAGTACATACTTTTGATTATTCGCGACTGTCGTCTATTTCTTATTTTGTTTTGTTCTGTTCTTTTATACTGATTTATGATCATTGGCTTGTTTTCAACACGTGATAGATTTTTTCTTTTTTCATCATGTGATATATGATTATACTTTAAATATGTCGACGATTTAACATTGTTTTCGATATATCACAAAGAAATTTTTCGTTTAAATAAACATTTTATTGTATATTAGATACAATTCGATTTTTCAAACCGAATAATATATCTATAAGGTATTAATTTAAACATATTTAACTTTTATACCATGTTTCGTTTGTTCTTACTTCTAAGATAATTTAGTATTCAATTATGGACAATGAGGCAGATTGGGTATATGTGGAAAAGCAGAATGAATTAATCGATGAACTTGAAGTTATTTCGATTGGTACAGAATCTGAAGAAAATGTCCCGATCGAAAATAAACCTAGTTATGCTGCTGCTTTACTTAAAAATATTCAACCAAATGATCAACAACAACAACAACAACAACGTCAACGGATAGTTTCGTCTATCGAACCAAAGAAATGCAAATCTATGAGTAAACCGAATGGTAGAGAGAATTCACTCGTATCGTATATTGAATCGAAACCTGGTAGTCAATATCGTAATCCTCGTGATAAAGCAGGGAAAAATAAAGTTCATAATGGTCGACAACAATCGACATCACCACTAAGAAGTAATGATCATTCAATGAAAACTGATTGCTCTTACTCTAATCCTAAATTATCGAATCTTATTGAACGTACTCGAAATATGCGTCAGCAATGTTCGACAGTAACTTGGAAAGACTGTGATTATTAATTATTTATAACATATTTAAGAATAAGGGTTCTCTAATTACCATTTTATGATGACTACGATGCATATTTATCTTGTAATTTTAAAAGGGATTTTTATTTTTTTTTTCATTGTATTATAATTGTTATTGTAAATAAATGGTGTAAATTTAATAAAATCTCACACATGTAAATGTATTTAATGAAGATAAAGATTTTATTATTTTGTTCTTGATAAAAAAAAATTACTTATACTACTCATAAACTACAGATGTCAAATCAATTCAGAATGATCATAAATACACATGTTATAGTAGAATAAATTAAAGTTAAACTGATTATCGATCTACTTTGCATATAGATGATGGAGTTCATGAAATAGTTGGTTTTGATGATGAATACATGATACTATAGACGTTAAGGTAAAGATCATTACTTCGTGATAAAAAATACTTTTGTCTGTTGAATATTACATGTTTAAAATGACGAGTTAAAAAAGGTTAATCGAATATCATATACATATAATATATGGCAAGAATGATGAAATTGTTTTTGACGTCTTCAAAGACTCATTGATGTTTATCCGTTTCTATTACGAAATATCGCTGAAACTTCACTTGTACACGATACTGTCAAATTATCTCTTGAATTGCATAACATCAGCTAATTTATACAATCAAAATAGACTAAATGTAGCATTCGTGTATATTACACAGATTATTTCTAGAAAAATGATCTTAATTATTTATTTTTATTTTCAATCAAATTGTAATCAAAAAGTTAAAAACAAACATGAATTACATTCGAGGCTTCAATACTGTTTGATACAATGTTTTTTCTGTGTGTTCAATAAATGAAAAAGTCATTTGTGTGCTATTGACTTCCATTAAACCAAAACCACCAAGAAGTATTTCACCACCCCAGAAATATTTGAGTGAATCAGCAGGTACATTACTCGCATGTTTATGACTGTTTTCTACGATATTTCCAGCACCAACAACAAAATAGTTCATTTTTGATCCATCTAAATCTTCAGCTAGATGCTATTAATTAAAACAAAAATAATGTTATATTCAGAACGAATAAGAATATTACTTGAAGATTATGATCATGACCACAAACATATGCTGTTACATGATATTGATGGAGTAATGGACGAAGACGATCAACAAGACACTTAGTTGGACCATGTTCAGCAACCGAATACACTGGAAAATGACCACCCACAAGCAAATATGGAGCTCTAATAATATGAAGTTAACATATATATTAACTAGAAATTATATTTCTAATTGTATACATACGTCGATTGCCGGAGTTCTCCTTCAATCCATTGCCAATAAGCTTCAGCTACACGACTATTTTTAGGACCATCTAATGGAGTATCTTCCCAATCAGATAGATTTCCACCACCACAAAGTAAAACAGTATCGATCATGACAAAGTCAACTAATTTCTTCTGTTTATCACTTTGCATTAAACTAAATGCATAGAAATAGTCTGGAAATGTCCTGTTAAAATAAAAATATATAGTATATACATCATAATGAAATAATGAATAATTATTTACCATCGATGTGAAATTTTACTATATTCAATTTGTGCCGAGACATTACCAATATGATCATGATTACCAGCTACAAGATACCAAGGTGTTTGTAATGATTCAGCTGTAAACACATCCTCAAATGTATGCTAAATTACAAATATAAAATAAATAATATTTAATAACAAAAAGAAAAAAATATCAAACTTTAAATCTTGGATCAGTAACTGATTGTACACCGTGAAAATAGAAGTTGTCACCTAATGCTAATTGAAAACTTGTGTTGAATATTTTGCCTAGTTTACCCATAGCATGTGCTACAGCAATTTCTGATGGTGTTTTATATGGTGCAATTGGTAAACCACCCCAGTCACCAATAATAAAAAAGCGTGCAGTACCATCAGTACTTTCTTTTGCAGATATATCATGATTACCTGAAAGTTATATTTGAAGAATAAACATTAGAATAGTTTAAAATTTACCAAAATTTCTTGGGAAAGCTGTTGATAATTGGTAAAAAATGGCGAGCTGAATTAAATAGATGAGAAGCATGATGTAGGTGACAAAAACACGTAAATAGGCAAATGACGATGTGAGAAAATTTGCATGAGTATATAAAGTCTTATCATGCAACTAAATACATAAACAAATGTATATCAACAAAAGAAACAAGTTTTGAATATGAAGCGTCGTATATATGCTAGATAAGAAAAAAAAGAAAAAGTAACTGATGATTTAATAGTTCTGTCTGATGAAATTTTGTTTTACTTATTTCAATATTTAATAATCAAGAACAATAGAGTTTCTTCAAAAATATATTCAATTTTAATGATTCAAATTTTTCATTTGTTCTTTACACATTCGAGAAAAACTATTCGAGAACATTTATATCCTCAGAATGATGATGAAATTATTCTTAAAGTTATAGGACTATCAGAGCAAGGAGATGAAAATTGGATCTTGTCTCAAGCGTTCGTTAGTCGAACGTCTTTCTGTGCATTAATGCTTGATGGTAATCGTATATTGGACGAAGGTGTTCAATATCTCACTGAGATGCTTCGAGTAAATCACACAATGTTCCATCTATATTTAAGTGATAGTTGTAAATGTTTTATGTAGTATTCTAAACAATTTTCTTCATCTATTTATAATGAATAAACTCGATTAATTTCGAAATAACATGCCGGACGAATTTAAAGAAGAGGAAAGAAAAAAAAAGTAGTCTAAATATATTCGAATTCTTTCCTTTTCTTGTAAATAAACAACATGGATAATACGAAACGAAAGCTAACTTCACCCGAATCGTCTGAAAAAAATTCAAAAAAAATACGAAGTAAATATTATTTGATTAATAATATCTAAAATTGTCTTGTTTTTGTATTTTAATCAAGATCAATTAGTAAATTCTATTGAAAATTTATCGAATGATCTCTTCTATGAAATATATGATTATCTTGAGGGTTTGGATATTTGTGTAGCATTTTCAAATCTTAATTCTCGTTTTCAACAATTAATTACATGTTCGACAAACAGATATAAAATAATTATTGATTATTTAACAACAAAAGAATTATTTTGGAATTATTCAAAAGAATTCAAACATCAAATTTATTCAATTCCTTTTCAATTACCAAAAAGTTCTGTAAATGAATTCTTACCAATTCATTATTCATTTACGTGATTTATCTTATCTTTATTTATTAAATATCAAATCAACAGATTCATTTAGAGATTTAAATGAAATTTATCAATTAATATTTTCATTACCAAAACTAAAATCGAACAAACTTGATTTATTTGCAGATGAATATTCCATATCAATTCCAATGTCAAATAATCAACAATTCAGTTCTATTACATGTCTTCATATTGCTCATTCGTATACATCTGATGAACTTTCTACATTAATATCCTACACACCTTCACTTCGTCATCTCAATCTTTCACGTTCAAGCAACTACGATTCATATATCGAAGAAAGTTTACCAATGCATTTGAATGAACTCACTCATTTATCGATATATTCAAATAATTTAAACTTCGATGGATTTCAATTATTTGTTGAACAAATCAATTCAAAACTACAAATTCTTCATGTGTTTCTTTCAAAACAAGATATTCGTTTTCTTCATGCTGATCGCTGGCAGAAATTACTGTTAGAAAATTTTTCGTAATTAAAAAAATTTCCTTTATGTTATCGTGAATCGGGATATGGTGATAATTTTTTCGTTTTTAGAAAGAGATGGTATCAATATTCTATTGAACATTCAAAATTAGCTCAATTGACAATAAAATATATTTATTCTAATCAACTTCCTGATGTTTTATTAAATCAAATAAAACGTATTTTAAATTTCACTCAAATTTATCATTTAGATATTGAACAAAACATTTCTATTGCAAGGCTAATGCAAATAATTCATTTATTACCTGATCTTATTTCATTAAAAATCAATGATTTATCATTTTATGAATCATCAATACTTCGATTGGCATGTCAAGAAAGTCTTAAAATATCTGCATTAAAACATGCTAGTAATATAAAATATGTTTGTTTGGAGAAGACATGTACAATGGAAGATATTTTATTTCTTATTTCATTTTGTCGTCATATGGAATATCTTAATATTGAAGGTGTTGAAAATATGAATATTCAATCATTTTTAAGTGACATTTTAAATAAAATGAATCAGTATCATTATGAATATTTACATACATTATGTATTTATATAACAATAGCAGATAATCAAATGATAAAACAATTAGAACAAATGATTGATGATGAAAATTTTTTATTAGATTATACAATTCATCGGCAACTTTATAATATTTACTTAAAATGGAAATAAGGTTTTCTTTTTTTTTAATTGTAATTGTTAATATTTTCTAGAAGATATTTATGAAAAAGATTTTAACGTTGAAATAAATAAACCATGCACGGAAGAAGGGTGTGGGTGTGGGATGGGTGTGGATATTGTATTCACCTAGCATCGACACTCACACCTACCCATTTTTTTGTTACTTAATATCTACTAATAATATATGCATAATGATAAAATTTAAATTGAGATAAATAATAAAAAAATTCTATAAAATTCATTGAAAGCCTATTTTCGTTAAAAAACAAATACTAACTAGTTCATATTTAATGTTCATATTCCCTGGAGTTCTTGACAGACGCACTCCACTAGTCGTTGAATGTGTTTTTATAACTTGTTTTATATTATAACGTACACCCTTGTAAAAAAATTTTGCCTCGAAATACGTCTGAAACGCGTTTAATTTGCGCGCGAAACGCTAATAGAGCACGCTTTTCCTATGAAACAAACGAAGCGTTTACACGCGATTTATTTTAGAAACGCGTATGAGTGCGTTCGTAGTTTGAATTGAGTTCAAACGCGTTTCATGTAAAATCTAAACATTCCGAAAAAAATATGATAATCCATCTCAGACTCGAACTGAGTCACTACTATCAATACCTTTCGATGGTCTTAGCCTACTTCGGCAAATGGAGTGAATTTTGCCTGAAACGATGACAGTCAGCTTTAAATAGAGGAACTAGTGTTCAGAAGCCGTTTATATACACTACTGAGTTATATCAGCTCGAAATCTTTTCTCATTCAAAATAAAATACATTTGTATGCAAAGCTCATCGATTGAGTACCTTATTTTCAAGAAGATATACTCTTTTAAAAGTTAGAATATTTAATTTATAAAATGATTTTTCACTTATTTTTCAAAAATAATTTTATTATTCATTAATATAATAATATCTTTTTCTGTTGTACTAGTAATATGATAGATAAGTTCATCGAAGAATTTGATGAATACATGATTATTCATACAATCTATTTAGTAGACATATATGATGAAAAGTTATTAATCGTGTGATTTAAATAGTAGTATTAAGCAGTTTGTTAAATGAACATTGGATAGATGAAAACTATTACAATATTGCATCATTATTATTCATACAAACTTTAGAGAAATATAAATTATTTATCGTATGTTTAAATGAGTTTTAGTATATTTTAACGTCATCTAAACATTCTTTAATAAAAAGTTTAGTAAAGTCTAGCCGAATAAAATATATATAAACTTATAATTCCGATCACGCGATCAACCCTTTTAGAAAAGCAATTTCTGGGATAAAATTGCGTCTGACGCACAAGAAAGAAACGCGCACAAACACGCTCGCATATATGATTCCGTTCCAACACATTAAATTTTTTTCAGGAGCTTGTTGAGACGCACATCATTTTTTTCTGACTGCGTTTTAAAATGTTGCATAGAAAAACTGCGTCCAGACGCGTTTCCATATTTTTTTATAACCACGTATCGACGCGTCTCTTACTACACCGCGTTTGAACATGTTTAATCAAATTCTTATGAAACACGTTGAGACACTGTCAAATTTTTTTTCTGATTGCGTTTCAACGCATCGTTTTTGTGTTCCGTGATTATTTCTTTAGAAAAGTGATTTTTTCGTATTGTCATAAATCATATTTATTTCTACAAATCGACAAAATTAAATAATATGTTTCATTCTGTCACTGTATTTAAAATATTATTCAGACTTCGAAAAGAGAAGATCTAATGCTTTTTTTTTCTTTCCTGTCATTCGCTAGTGTAACAGGAATATACGTTCTTTTAATAAAACACCTGCGATGTCGATAATGTACAACAGTAACTAAAAAACAAGTTTGATTTTTACAAAAATAATCTGTTTTTTTATCAGAGTTAAAGTCATTCATTTTAAATGCAAGTTCTAGAATCGCATAGATACATATAGTTAGTTTAATGTAATACTCATCGACATAAATGAAGTATAAAATAGTTTTGAATTAGTGACTTATAAAATAACTTTGACTTTTTGTATTTTTCATCAATATCTTTAAGCAAGATCTACCAAAATGTAAGTAAAGATAAAAGCGAAAACATTAATTTATATAGATTATGATAAATGTTTCGTTATATTTTATAGATTCGTATAAGCACTCATAGATACTACGTAAACTCTATAAATATTACCAATAAATCTTTTTTGCAAAGTATAGAAATATTGAGTCATTATAGAATTTGTTTTTTTATTTATGTACTTACAGTGTAAATTAACAATGAATTTTACTGTCTATTTTTATAGTTGAAGATGTTTTATATATTACAATGATATAATATATTTATCTAATGTTTCTTTTTGTTTAGTGTTGCGATTAAAAAATACAAGATTGTCAAAACTGAAAGGAATTTTGTTACTCTGGAACGAAATAAAACATTTATATTGAATCATTACAACAATAATTCACTAAATCAACATTCTCACATAAATAGATACGAATGACAACTCCACCACGTTTATTTGCTCGTACATATGAAGTAAATCATGACTCTGAGCAACTATCGTCATCAAAAAAGCTTATTATTCTACTACTGGATACATCTTCGGATGATACGCATTTACGTCGAGAACTCGATCATCTTTCTAACTATCACTGTTTTCAAACATATACTACAAATAACTGTTTAGATTTAATAAATCAAGATGATATCAAAGATGGTTTAATTTTGCTTATTATTTCACCTCGATTTGTTGACTTTGTTTTCGATACCTTGTTAAAAATTGTGCCACAATTGTCATATATTTATTTATTTGATAAAATTCCATACAACAAATACCTAATTCGTGATCAACGCTTGCGTGGTATATTCAATAATGTTCAATTATTAACCGAGAAAATACGTGAGGACATTGCAAACTATGAAGTTTCTACTCATAAAAGCGAAGGCATTCAATATATACTTGAAGATAGTGCAACATTTTTTTGGTATCGATTCTTCTTTAATATTCTAGATCATTTAAAACATTCCGATGTCGCAAAGCATGAAATGATTAGTCCGTTTCGTACTATTTATGAAAATAATATAGATATATGGAAAAAAGCTAATGATCTTGCGAATACATATTACTCTGATCATATTATCCGTTGGTACACTAAAGATAGCTTCTTTTATCGTCACCTTAATAGCGCATTACGTAGTCAGGATATCAATGAGATATTTTTATGGCAAGCTTATATTAGTGATCTTGACAGAAACCTTCGAGAACTATGCTCAGAACAAATGGATTCTCAGTCAAGGTGTGTGTTTCGAGGTCAACGATTGCATAAATACTATTTACGTATGTTGAAAACAAATGTAGGTAAATTAATCACAATGACTTCTTTTCTATCTACAAGTTCGAATCTCAATATTGCGAAGATTTTTGCCGGAGATGGTAAAGTTGATTTCCCTTTTCAATCAGTTGTCTACAAGATATTTATTGAATCAAACAATAGTAAAATAGTATGTGCCGATATCTCAGAACTAAGCGTGTTCAAAGAAGAAGAAGAGCAATTATTCTCAATACGATCAATGTTTCGTATTGAACAAGTTGAATATTCTGGTAATATATGTTATATTGATTTAACAGCTGTAGATGAAGATGATCAACAATTTTGTACAGCAATCAATCCGTGGAAAACAACTATTAGTGAACAAAGTTTTTTTTCTGGACGCCATGAACCATTATTTACTCGATTTTTAATCGATGAAAATAGCTCTTTCTTAGCTTTTCAACTACTTACTGATATAATGTTACGACTTCATCAAACTGAATTTGCGCGACAAGAAATGATTGAAATGTGCCGATTGAAATGCGAAAATAACTCAGCTGATTTCGAGAAGATCAATGAATTTGAAAGTTCCTATCAACATAGTGATGCCTTAGAATGGTATACAACAAATTCTTTTCTTTATCGAATTCTTCATCAAGCACTTCGAATGGAAGATATTGACACTATTTTTAAACTACGTTATTATATTTATGATTTACATAATCAATTAGCTCAACTTCATACATCTTATCTTTACTCTTTACCATCGGATCAACCAATATTAACACTATATCGTGGACAACGTATGAAAATTATTGAGTTATCAAGACTTCAGGAGAATATTCACAAATTAATATCTATGAATAGCTTCTTATCGACAACAAACGATGTTATAGCCGCTATTTTTTTTGCTGGTGATGGCTGTCTTAATGATCCAGACGAGGAAATATCAGTTCTTTATCAAATCACAATTGATACAAGTGTACCTCATTCTATTCCATTCGCAAAAATTCAGTATAAAAGTATATTTGAAGATGAAGATGAAGTTTTATTCTCCATGGCTTCAGTTTTTCGAATAGATAATGTTGAACAGTATGGAGCATTGTGGGCAGTTGAATTAACATTAATCAACAAAGAAGATGAAACATGGAATATTCTTACAGCTCATTTAAATAGATAACATGGGTCAACTATCATGTATTTATCCAACAAACTATCTTTTACATTGAGAGTTTGATATTGTTTTTCAGCTATAAAATAAAAAATAAAAACGTTTTTGCGAAGATTCTAATAACATAGTATTACATTATGTGCGATACAATTTCGAATATACACCGTTTGTATACTGTGATTGATAAAAGGTAAAGAAATTGATTTTAAGATAAGAAAAAGATGTAGTTATGCTAGACTTATTTGTTTATCTCTTTTATCATTCTTCAAAGTTTTAGGCATCAAGTGTTGTACATAATAAACAGATATAGAAACGTTGAGTATAATATCTTTCATTTATATGAATAAGGGAGTGATCAGTCTGAGTTTTCTTATATGATATTTTTCATAAAACCGTTGTCGTCATATGACTTCGAATGCTACTTCACTGTTTAGTTGACAAGAATATAGCGTGTGACTTTTAAAATCTAATAATTAACACAGTCACCGCGATGAGTTTCACCTTATTTTAACAAGAAAATGAACAAAGAAAAAACTTATTTTTTTTAGAGAAGAAGCTACACTGAATGTATTATCTGCTCTGCCTTGCTTCTACCACGTTATTAACTATGTAGCCTCATGTCTTTCGTTGAAACAACGAAGACAATAAAAATAATCACAATAAAGACAGAAGGTTTTTATTTTTTTTTCTGTCTCATTACTTGCTTCTTTAGTTAATGTATTTGCTTATCTGTTTAGTTGCATGATAAGACTTTATATACTGATGCAAATTTTCTCACATCGTCATTTGCCTATTTACGTGTTTTTGTCACCTACATCATGCTTCTTTTCTATTTAATTCAACTCGTCATTTTTTACCAATTATCAACAGCTTTCCCAAGAAATTTTGGTAAACTTTAAAATATAAAATATTTTAATCTTCAACTATAACTTTCAGGCAATCATGATATATCAGCAAAAGAAAGTACGGATGGCATTGCACGATTTTTTATTATTGGAGACTGGGGTGGTGTACACGTTCCGCCATATAAAACACCGTCCGAAATTGCTGTAGCTCATGCTATGGGTAAACTAGGCAAAACATTTAACACAAGCTTTCAGCTAGCATTAGGTGACAATTTCTATAGTCATGGTGTACAATCAGTTACCGATCCAAGATTTAAAGTTTGATATTTTTTTCTTGTTATTATTAAATATTATTTATTTAATATCTGTAATTTAGCATACATTTGAGGATGTATTTACAGCTGAATCATTACAAACACCTTGGTATGTTGTAGCTGGTAATCATGATCATCTTGGTAACGTTTCAGCAGAAATTGAATATAGTAAAATCTCACATCGATGGTTAATAATGATATATTGATTACTTCATTATGATACATATACTAATACATTTTTATTTTAATAGGACATTTCCAGATTATTTCTATGCATTCAGTTTGATGCAAAGTGATAAACAAAAGAAACTAGTCGACTTTGTCATGATCGATACTATTTTACTTTGTGGAGGTGGAAATCTATCTGATTGGGAAGATACTCCATTAGATGGTCCTAAAAATAGTCGTGTAGCTGAAGCTTATTGGCAATGGATTGAAGGAGAACTTCGACAATCAACGTATGTATACAATTAGCAATATAATTTCTAGTTAATATATATGTTAATTTAATATTACTAGAGCTCCATATTTGCTTGTGGGTGGTCATTTTCCAGTTTATTCAGTTGCCGAACATGGTCCAACTAAGTGTCTTGTTGATCGTCTTCGTCCATTACTCCATCAATATCATGTAACAGCATATGTTTGTGGTCATGATCATAATCTTCAAGTAATATTCTTGTTCGTTATGAATATAACATTATTTTTTGTTTTAATTTACAGCATCTAGCTGAAGATTTGGATGGATCAAAAATGAACTATTTTGTTGTTGGTGCTGGAGGTGTCGTTGAAAACAGTCATGCCCATGCCAGTAATGTTCCTGCTGATTCACTCAAATATTTCTGGGGTGGCGATATAATTCTTGGTGGTTTTGGTTTAATGGAAATCAACAGTACTCAAATGACCTTTTCATTTATTGAACACACAGAAAAAACATTGTATCAAACAGTATTGAAGCCTCGGGTGTAATTCATGTTTGTTAGTTTTAACTTCTTAATTACAATTTGATTGGAAAAATAAAAAATAATTAAGATCATTTTTCTAGAGATAATCTATGTAATATGTACGAATGTAACAATAGTCTATTTTGAGTGTATAAATTAGTTGATGTTATGCAACTAAAGAGATAATTTACAATTGAAATAGCTCAGAAATTAATAGTAAAAAGCACTTTTCTCAGAATAAAAACTCACTCTAAAGTTAAACGTATGTAATCTCTATGATCTGACTGTTTATTTTTATTTATATTAATCAAAATAAGTCAAATATGATCGTTCTTGATATTGTTCATGCTTTCTGTTTTCGTCATTCATATAATTCAATATTTTACGTAAGTATTTTCTTGAAATATCAATAGATATTTTCTTTTTTTTCTTTTCCGTGTTTTCATTGGTTCTTAATATTTTCTGCTCATCAAAGCAAGGATGATTGATATTTGACTGATTGAGATATGTGACATCAAGTAAAAATAATGGTATAATTCGAGATACATGAGTTACAACTAATATATTTCCTGAATGAATCTTAACCATTCCAGATTTATTACGTTTTGGCATTGCTGCACATATCAGAATGGTATTGGTGTCATGTGTATATGATAAAGAATATACAGCTGTTTGACTACAATAAATTCCATTTCCATATGCTTTACCATGTGCTACTTTAATAATTGGTGCTTCGCTATTTGATGGATGTGCTTGATTTGGTATTAAAAGACCATAATGAAGGATACTTGTAATATTTTTCAATGCTGTACCATGATAAACTAAATTCGGAAAATACGAAGTATTATTTAATTGTTTCATAAAATCTTTTTGAACATGTTCATCTACTGATGCAAGACGAATATTAGTGATTTTGATTTGAGAACATTTTTCCAAAGATGATTTAATTTCTTGTTGGTTTATTTGATAGAAATAACGACGAAAACTTGAAAAACTTTGTCGATGTTCAGGTGTGAGTATTTTTGAAGATTCTGATTCAAGATCGGTATGTGTAAGTGTTGAAGTTTCTTGAAATTCTTCATCACATTCAAAACTTGGTTGTTTCTCTTGTACGTAATGATCATAACGAAATGGTTTTCGTTCAGCTTTTAGAGTAATTTTAGAATTTATACAATTAACTCGAAGTAGAGTCGGCTGAGACTTGAGAGTTTTTTTTGATACTGAACAGGAAGCTTTTCTAATTTTTTGTTTAGTTTTTTTTGATTTTATACAATGACGAAGTTCAAATTGATCAATTTGATAATCAATAGATAAAGAATTTTGACTAGAATTGTAATCAAAATCATCATAATCACTATCTGACGACATATCTTGATTATTCTAAAATAAAAATAGACATTATTAATTATTATCTAGATGTAAATGATAATATTTAAAAAGACTAGAATTTGTTTTGTTGAGTAGAAATTGTTCACATATGATGAATGCCTTAAATTACAAATATAAAAACTTACCACAAATTTACAATATTGAGGATACAATTCAGAGTATGCGTTCTCTATTCTACAAAAATATGTTGAATTCAAGAAGAAAAAAAACATCAAAATATATAGGTAAGCGTCATGAGTCATGACGTAAGAATGACGCAGAATTGCGAAATATTTGCTTATATGTAATATGAGTCATATCAATGTCGTTTCTGTTAGAGAAGTCATTTTCATGGTGTGGGCGTGCATAAAAATTGTCATTGTAGCATATTATTATAGTCATTTTTTTTGTCAATTAGGCAGTCAATTTTATTTATTTCATCTACACAGAGAACAGTTGTAAACTAAGTGTTTTCTGATATTTCTTTATATCTGTCTATCGAAACGGTAATTTTAGAAATTAATTTTGTCTAACACACTAGATAAACCAAAAATAAAGTTACGTTCAATTTGTCTCATTTCAAGAAAGATACCATATGTAAAAAACAAACGACATGTAACTCTATTTCAAATTAACGAACTTGTTAATAACTATCAATCATTTAAATAATAGGATTCGATCGAAAAATGTATACGTATAATTACAGATACTTTATAGAATAAATATCATAAAAGAATCAAGCGCACATTATTCTATCGGTTTTAACACATCTTTAGTGCACGTTATCTATATTGTTATCGAGAAAGTTTACCTGCATAGCATGTCATTGTTTAAAGCAACACTCTTCTCGTTAAATACTTCATATTCGAATCCACAGTATACACGTATGTTTCTGTTACAGACGCTTCTATTTTTAATTCTACTGAATCAGAATGTTGCTCAAAATGTTCTCGATATATCAAACAATCATTCTCGTGCGATATTAATCAAACCTTGTCATGTTCGTATTCAACATATGGATGTAACTACACATCCTGATATTGTAATTGATACGCATACACCACACATTTCCTGGCAATTGGCTAATGAATATACTGATAATGGTCATTTGATTCGAGAAGTGAATCAAATAGGTTATAGTATTCGCGTAAAGAATGTTATTACTGATCAATTGATGTGGAACACTAATTATGTACAGTCTTCATCGTCTTCGCATATTCTCTATGCAGGTATACCATTCACTTCTGATACAAGATATACAATTGCAATTAAATACTATACAAAAAAACATGAAAGTCAATGGTATACAGTTCATTTTCGTACTGGACTATTCTCGCTAATGGACTGGACAGGTTATTGGATAGGTAGTAATTATCTGAACATGAATCAGTTACGCACTGTCATCAGTCTTAGATCAATTTCGATTGAGTCAGCAACTGTTTTTATTAGTGGTGTTGGTTTTTATCAATTGTACATCGAAGGTCAATTAATTGATCCATCTCGACGCTTAGATGTTGGTTGGACTACATATCAACAACGTACACTTTATACTTCCTATGATCTCACTAGTGTCTTAAGTAAACTTTCTGCAAGACAACTTGGTATTGGTATCGTTTTAGGGCAAGGGTGGTACAATCAACAACAGTGGGCTATTTCACTCAACGGACGTACTATACTTGCCGAACAATATGGTCCACCTCGTGCACTAATGCAATTAAATATTCGCTATTCGGATGGTACGAATCAGTCAATTATCACCGATTCTACATGGTTAGGTAGAGAAGGTGAACATCGGTTTGATTCTGTTTATATGGGTACGACTATGGACTTACGAGCAACACTTACTTGTTGGTCATGTGCTAATTTTACTGATTCCTATTTACCATGGATAAATGCTTCTATATTACCATCACCGGTGAATTTTACAGCTGGTGGTCAATTTTCATTACAAATTATGGATCCTATTCGTATTGGTCCTGATGCACTTCATATTGCAACATCAGGTCGATTAGGTCATGTAGCTGGAGTACAAGGTGCTAGTATTACTGATGGTGGCGTACTTAAACCTATTTCTGAAGATTACATTAATGGTCTAGTATTTGATCTAGGTCAGAATTTTGCTGGTTGGTGTAAACTATTATCATTAAATGCAAGTAGATCTACTATTATTCAAATGCGTTATGCAGAGTTACGATATTCACGTGGTGTAAATGGTATTGATTTTGCTGGATTATACTATGAAAATTTAGATAGTATTGCTGTAATGGATACAGTCATCTTGAATGGAACAGGCAATGAAACGTTTGAACCATTATTTACTTCTCATGGTTTTCGATATTTATTAGTAAATGGTTATAATAAAGTCAGTAAAGATGACGTCGAATGTTATAATGCTCATAGTGAAACGACATTAATTGGTAATTTCAGTAGTAGTAGTATTGTTTTGAATCAAATTCAACATAATATCATTTGGTCCCAGTTAAGTAATTCGATGTCATTACCTATGGGTTGTCCGCAGCGCAATGATCGCACAGGTTGGCTTGGTGATGCTGGACTTAGTGCTGATGCAGCTTTGTATAATTTTGATTATATCAATTTTTATTTAAATTTTTTAACTATGATAAAAGATAATCAAACACCTGATGGTGCTATCAGTGATACAGTACCATTCATGACTGGTTTTATTCCTGCTGATCCAAATTGGGGTACAGCTTATATAACCATTACTTGGTGTTTATATGAACACACAGGTGATGTCACTATTATTGAGAAGTATTATACAGGTATACAAGCATGGATCAATTTGTTAGTTGATGAATATACAAAGACTGGATTAGCAAATATGTATTATCATTTTGGTGATTGGGTACCAGTACAAAAAATTAGTAACAATTCGTTAGTATCTTCTTATGCTTTTCTACGTGATGTTTATACATTCGTCAATATGAGTGAATTATTGCATCGTACTGATAATGTTCAAAAATATTCACAATTTTATCAACAGTTAGCTGAAGAATGGCATCGTGTTTTCTACAACTTAACTGTAAATGGTTATACAGATGGAAGTCAATCAGCAAATATACTATCATTAACTTTACCTACTGTTGTACCAAATCATCTTCGTACTACTGTACTCAATTCATTGATCAATAGTCTCGTTAATACTGGTTATTTTACTGGTGGTATTATTAGTGTAGCAGCTTTGTATCCACTTCTTTCGAATGAAGGATATCATGATCTTGCTTTAAAACTTGCTCTATCAACATCCTATCCATCCTATGGTTATATGTTTAATAATCAAATTCAAAATGCTACAACTACATGGGAACAATGGAATAGTTTGCCAACAGGAGCACGATCATCGTTAAATCATCATATGTTTAATAGTATTGGTGCATGGTTTTATCGATATTTAGCAGGAATCGAATTGAATGCACTAAACATGATCACTATTCATCCACGTATATCGTATGATATTGATCTCTTAAATTACATCGAGGCAGAAGTCATTACTATCAAGGGAGCTGTTCGAGTGAAATGGACACGAATGTCGATTGACTCGATGGAGCTAATAGTCACTGTACCAAATAATTTGGATGCAAATATTCTATTTGATCCATTGATTAAAAATGGGCAATGTCTTAAACTAATATGTGATGGTAAAGATATTTTAATGAGAAAAAATAGAAATGATAAACTATATTGGATCAAAGATGATGTACACGGAATAAACGACTTTTCTGAAAATTATGCAACGGGCACCATATCAATCAGAATAGCGTCTAGTCAATATACATTCATGACATATTGGCATTAAAATATAACAAATGAAATTATAGTTCATTGATATTAGAACTCAGAACTTTCATGAAGAAATATTCTTTTTTTTTCAAATAAAAATAAGAATCATGTTTTATGAATTTGATAGCATATGCTTTAGATCTAGTCAATGTTGCATCGAATTTACAATAAACAGAATACAATCAAATTAAAAAAATTCCTCATCTAGTTTTTTATATTATATAATAAACTATTGCAATATATTTTTATACATGTAATTGTCTGCTATTAGTCTATTATATCTTATAATTCGACGTTTATACTGGACGACGAATATAATTAAAGTAACTTAGGGTTTTGTTTTCAATAAATTATTTTTATTTAACTGTTTCAGTAAAAGAGATATATCATTTAGAATGATTTAAAAAATGAATATTAACGCTTAATATACTAAAAATATATTTGAGAAATTTTTACAAAATAAATCGGTGCATACAATTGAGTCTAATTTGATGATTGTATTTTTTTCTATTCTGTTGATGACGTAGTATTTTTTTTTCTTTCCTCGATGATTTAGCATTTTTTCTCCGTAACTATAAATATTTTGCTCCTCTAATACATATTTCATTCAAAACAAAATATCGAGAGGTAACACACAATCACTCCAGTAGTATCCTGTTATTCATTTAAAAAGTAAATATATTGATTTTAGATATTTTTGTTGATACGAAGAATTATTATTTATAAAATATAGGACCTATATTAGATTAATCGCTGTGACTGAAAGTTTCATTACTAAGTGATTAAGCAAGGAGTATACATATATGACGCTAAATATGTCGCATATTTTTTATCTTTCTATCTATCACCAAAAATCGAAAAGAGCAAAATATTCTTTCTTTCTACATCACACGTTGATTACTTTTTTAAAAAAATATATTCAGATCTGATTTCGAACGAGTGATTGTATCGTTTCATTAAAATGAAATTATTTCTTTAATAGTGGCAGTTAGAAGAAATAAAGAATTTTTTTTTGTTTCTTAGATATCATCAAAATGAGTTCTGATGAGACAGTTGGCCTTGGTGTGCGTGCACCAGAACGAATTAATGCTCCATTTGATCGTGTTTGGGCAGTTATGATTGATAAAATGTATAATACATCAAAGTATTTGCCTGTTCATAATGTTAAAACAGAAGATCGTTCACCAACACATGTCTATCGTGAAATGACAATAGGATCAGACAAAACCATAAAAGAAGATATTTATTTGGACAAGGACAGTGGTACCATTAGATGTGATGTTATTGGCGCAGATGAAATACATTTTAATAAATTTCATAAAAATGCTGATGAACAAGTACTTGAATATTGGATGGAGAATAGTAAAGGAGAACGAATTCCATGGAATGCTCCTAAAAGTGTAGTCCTCAAGGCAATGAAGATTACAAAGGAAATGGCTGAAAAAGAAATTGATTAACTGTTCACAAAATTTTATTTTTTAAAATAAACCTGCAGTAGAAATCTTATTAGTTAACTAAATAACTGAATTTTTTGTATGTGTTTTAACTTTGTTCGATCAAATCACGAAGATATTCTTTTCTAAATACTAGTTATATCTAATATTGAAACTTTTCTTCTCTTCACCTTACTGAATATTTTCAATACATAAGAAATATCTCAATAATTGATATGTAGACCTTTGCAATTGTGGAAGAGCCACAACAAATGTATTCATATAATATCTATGAGTATTTCTGAATATTTAGTAAAATATGTACCTTGCTTCATACAGTATGTTGATAAAAAAAGCATCTTTTTATTATCTAAAAGAGATATCAATATAGATAAACTTCTGTTATTTATATTTATACTTTCTCTCACTGGATGTGATTTGAGGGAGGATTGTATTATTGTCTACTAAATTACGTTATTCAAATTTTCGAAATGAATTTCATAATTAATGAAGAAATATGTACAAAGAAGTGATAAGTTAACAATTCTGTAGCATTATTTTTAAATTATCAGGACGTGGGCGTGAATACTACACTCACACACCAACACAATTTTCTAAAATTTAAAACTATAATAACAACTGAATTATTTTTTAAAATTGCTTAAAACCTGTATGATTATAAAATCATCTTAAAATTTAGTTTAATTTCAACTAACTCATAATTCTGCCTGACACACATTCATAATTCTTCCTATTTCATTGTTTACGCGGTAAAATTTTTATAATCAGCCACGGTAAAAATTTATGAAAAAAAAACATTTATTGTTCTTCCTATCTCATCGTTTACACGGTAAAAATTTATGAAAAAATACATTTATTATTTTTCCTATTTCACCGTTTGCAGGGTAAAACTTTTATTACTAGTTACGAAAAAAATTTATGTAGAACAAACATTTATTGTTCTTCCTATTTCATCGTTTACACGGTAAACTTTTTATCATTAGCTACGGTAAAAATTTATGAAAAAAAAACATTTATTATTCGTCCTATTTCATTGTTTACGTGGTAAAACTTGTACCATCGATTACAAAATAAATTTATGAAAGAAAAATTAGAAATTCAGCTACAGAGCGTTTACACGATGATTATTAACAGTGTAAAATCTGTTATTTATAGTTCGAAGGTAAAACTCATAACATATCTACTTTCTAAGCATTTAAACGTTTATGAAAGAAAGTACAGAATTAAACAATAGAAAAAGCAATTTTGTAAGCGTTCACATATGTTTTTGAAAAACCTTGTCTGCTTGGGCACTCTCATACCCTCACGATCTACGAATTCTACGATCAATCTTCTTTTTCCACTTACCCTATACTCTAATTAACAAATCATTTCTTTTTGAATACAATATTATAATAGAGAGTACTTCTTCAAGACAGAAGTTTGTTTATAAAAATCGATCTTACGATCACATTGATCGTGAATAAGATAACAACTCTCATGTTATATTTTGAAATTCTGGTGTTTGTAGACATTTTTCTTAACTATATATCACTCATATCAACATTCTTATACGAATTGAAAATAATATCTATAATATGATTCACAAAATTGAACAAAGTCAAAAGTTTGATATTCGATCAAATTTATGTAATTATTGTTGATGGCACCGCCGATGACTATTATTATATGTGAAGTATTGAGAAAAAAAGATTTCATTTTTTACAGCATTCTATTGCAGAAACATATGTGAAGACCAAACGTTACGATAAAGTAATTCGTTAATTATCAGAATGTTTTTTCTTTCATAATATTGAATGAGTATTCTGAAGGTCATCTAGTTTTAAAGAACCATTACATATGCCGGAAAAACACTATTTCTTTTCTCTTCTCTTCTCTTCTCTTCATTTGATAGTGACGATTTTAATTCTATAAGTAACTGAAGAAACTAAGGTAATATTTTCTTCTCTTTAAGACAAATCTTTTTTCCTTGTTGCTATTCTACTCGTTTTGTGTATGTATAGTAGTCATGACTGCAGTTATTTTTTCACACAAGCCCGACTAACAATCTACAGCATTTTGTTTTGCGTAGTGATTGAATATTGAACCAGAGAGTTGGGGAAAATGAAAGAAAAGAGAAACAGTAATGTTAGTTACTAAAACATTAGTAAAAACATTTTACAACGTCAAGCCATAAAAGATGTTTTGGATATTTTTTGTTTTACTGGTATTTTCTACTGGTGGTGGTATTTTTATCAGTAAAATAGACAATAACATACTCATCGGTAATATATCTAATTCATTATGGAATATAACACAAAATCAATGTATATGTGAAATGACACAATCAAACGGAATCATATCGACATTAAATTATTTTTCAACAAATCAAACTTGTCAATTATTTTATACAAATGATAGTTCGATTTTAGTTGAATCTAATCTCAATTCTTCTTTGATATTTACGAATCAATCAGCAATATTCATAGCACAGAGTAAATATATCATAAATACTAAAAAAATATCAAAGTTTTGCTATTGAACGAGCTAAACTTATCTGGATAAACTTAGTCAGATTTTTGTTTCCAGTGAAATCCCATCCTTTCTAGTTGAGGACGTTAGAGGTTAGAGAAGAATATTAATATTATATAGATTCGCATCTTCAGATTGATACTCACATTCACCAATCTAGATGAGTTTTTAACCGATCAAAAGATTTATTTATTTGTTGTAAATGTTCGAATTAATGATTAAGTCAGTTACCTATTACTTTCGATAGATGCAACAAGCCTAATGTATGTTCAGAAATGTAAGCCGGTCGGATATGTCACGATTATGAAAGCACAAAGACGCATTTTTAGTTCTTGAAAGTTTTAATGCTCAGCAGCCGTTTTCGGAATGTTGGCATCTGGTTGCTCGATGACAAGTGTTTTATCATCATTTTCCACTCTTACAGCTATATAGAACTCCAAATACACCGATGCTAAAGTTGCATTTCGTGTAGACTCACCGGTTTGAACTATTTGAGTACAGTTGTAGCTATAAATAAGCATTATAGAAGGCGTTAGGTTTGTAAACCTATTGAAACTCATGTAAAATCTATCACACTGCATTCATGATCAACTATACTATTAGTAGAACGAAGCATGCAAAGTTTTGTGCGATGCGTTACCCAGTTACTCTGTCCTTTTTTTCATCTCATTTTTATAATATAGATCAGATCACTTCAACAGCAGCGTCAACAACAACAACAACAGGTGAGTTATTTAAAACTTCTCTAGTTATTGGAAAAAGATGTGTGTTTTTGGTATAATGTACAAACTACGGTAATGAGAGGTATATAATTTGATAAAACTATTCGCAATTTATGCTCATTGCATCATGTATAACGTTTCTCGACAAGTTGATCATAAAAATATAATCAGAACATCTCAGTTATGATGTTTGAGCTGATCTATAAGTGTTGGATAATAAAATAGTTGGTTTTTTCTTTCTTTTTATAGTATGTACTCAACCATCCTGGTCACAAACTGCGACTACCATATTTGGCAGCCAAGCAGGTACATCTGGCGCTAACCTTACACTTCTTTCTAATCCAATTGGAATGTATTATGACGGTCCTAACAGTATGTTAACAGTTGTGGATTATGGAAATCAACGTGTTCTAAAATTTTCTCTTAATAATCCGTCTTCAGTGGCAACAGTAATTGCTGGAAGTAATGGGGTTGGTTGCAACATGAGTCAGTTTTATTTGCCTAATGGAATAGGTGTCGATAGTTCTGGTCAATTGTATGTATCAGATTACCAATGCAATCAGGTCGTTACATTTCCATCAAATTCAAATTCGACGACGTCTGGAACACTTCTAGGTTCTGTAGCTGGAGCAGCATTGATATCCATAAATCAGTTAACTAATGATATCTATGTAGTAAGCTATTATGGTAATGTAGTATACAAGTTTGTTGGAGGTAGTGGATCACCAGTGGTTGCAGCAGGTATATAATGTTCTTTCAAAGAGATCTTTCCTGTAATATTGGTTTTATTTTCATATATAGGTGGCAATGGTAATGGAAATGCCTTAAATCAGCTATCATACCCAGTTGGTGTTTACTATGATTATTTATATACAAATTCGTTGTACGTTGCCGATAGTAGCAATAATCGTGTATTGAAATTTCCATCAAATTCAACAAGTGCAAATTATGGAACAGTTGTTGCTGGAGGTAATGGACCTGGAATTGGAGCGAATCAGCTGAATGATTCAAGATCTATAGTGGTCGATAGTAATGGAACTCTCTATATAGCTGATGCAGGTAAGAACAACCTTGAGAAAAGAAAATATTCCGTAAATTAAAAAAATCTCGTTTCATTTATTTTCGTATTCAGGTAACAATCGTATTCAACGTTGGCTGCAAAATGCAACTAATGGCACTACAATCGTTGGTGGTACACAAGGAGCAGCATCAAATCAACTCAATTGGCCTGAAACTGTCCTATTTGATAAATATGGTAACCTATTGGTTTCCGATAGATATAATAATCGAATACAGTTCTTTAACTTAACAACATGCTAGTGTACAACGACTTACTACTGATTATTATCGTTAACAGTAAAACCTTAAAAAAGCCACTTAATGTATTGACTTTTTCTTGATTTGTCATTAGTGTTTAACCTTAGAACATGCCTCTTTCTTATATGATATCTTTCCTGACATATTATCATCTTTTTTGTGTTTGTTTTCTCATATTATATCCTGCATGTTACATAATCATATATAAATATATATTTATACAGTCGTCTCTCTTCTGCTATTTTTCGTTGAGCTTGATGTCATTGTGATTGTATGTGCATGCATATATATTTAGAATAAAGGTAAAGATGATTACTCGAGAAATCGTCTAATAATTGACTGTGAATTCAATCTAAAACAGATTTCTTTTATAAGGGTTAATCGAAGGGTAATTCGGGTTGAGAAACTCGAATTCACTGCTATTTTTCGGAATTGTTGGAATAAATAGTTTACTGATAGTTACGATACATCGTTTCTGCGAGAAAGAGCTGAACGACTCTCCAGACGAGCGTTATTTGTATTTTAATATTATATTATATGATATTATATCATACTGTTTTGTTTTAGATTATTGCATTTTATTCTAGATGATCTAAATTGATCCATTTATTGAAGAATAAGTACTTAATTTAATCTGACTTTGTTCTATTTGAGTGGTTCTAAGTGGATATATTTAGTAAACAAGAAGTAAATAATTTGCTTAATGATTGTTACTTTTTTTTAAGTACTTTGCTTTATTTTATTATGTTAGAACATCTAATCGAAGATATTTGTACTTCGTATTGAAGGTAGAAGAGGCAAGATGAACGGTAAAAATGGTAACATCTTTACTATATCGCACAACGTGAACCACTATATACAGATAAGATACGGTCGTTTACAATCCCCAATGCTTCGTTTACGACAATTGCGTTAGTAGAAAGTGAAAGCAAAATTCGAACTGGTTATCGGTTTCTTCACGATCACGATGTTCATGGTGAATCATTACAAAACCAAAAAGTTCATTGAAAATGTTACATTTGTATAACTCGAAAACTATCACGAATTGAATAAAGAAAAAAAATCTATTCTTGTGCATTATGTGCACACCGTTCATTGTCTAGATGTATAAATGAATAAAAGAAAAGGAGAGAAAATTAACTGATCATAGGCGAAAATCTCCTTGAAAACACTTGATACTATTGACTTTCGTGAATGGGTTGATTTAACAAAAAAAAAAGACACGAAAGTATGTATTGATTTTTGTCAAAGAATTGGTCTCCTTGGTCATACGCCAGAAGAAGGATGAGCGCAAAATCATAAAAATTGGAAGCATGGTGCATCGTCTCGTATGAATGATGAATATGTGTGGCACTGTACAAAATATAAAAGTACAAGAACTATTCGACATGATACATTCTTATTAGGATATGTCGCAACATAGCGACATCTCCCTCGGATCTCTCTTTCTCACCCTTCGTGTGATCTTCTATATAACATATGTACACGTAAACTTTTATCTGATAAAATAAAAGTAAAGGAAGAAGATCGTCTAAAAACAAACATCTTAACAATTGGCGACCCTTGACACGAACAAGAAGAACGAAAACGAATACACAATCGTAGATGTACTCTCAAACAAAGATCAAGATATTATCGAAATGAAATAGTTCATCGAAATCTCGACAGAGGATTGAACATCACAAGAATTAAAACAACATTACGGCAGCATGAAATCTCATTTGCAGCAATTAACAAATCGAAATCCGGGTCGACTCTCTATATTGGTATTAAACAAGCTGAAAATATTAATGAATATGAACGAATTGTTCGAGATTTATTTACAAATGAACATTTCTTAAGGCGTGTCGCAACATAGCGACATTGCCCTCTGATCTCTCTTACGACATTCTCAGGTGATTGGTGGTGTTGGACATGTTGCTGAAATTGGTGAAAGCGCGTAGACCAAGAGAAAATACAATCGCGGGCAGTAAGTTTCTACTCAATGGGTTTTTGGTGGAATCGATAGAAATACAAGAGAATGTCTGGCTGTGTTAGTAGATCATCGCGACGCTACCACCACTCTTTTGCCCATGATTTATTAATACATACGCTCTGGTACTACGATCTATATCGATCAATGGGCGGCATACAGTAGTTTCTCTACTGGTCCTCAACAATATATTCATCAAAGTGTTAATTTTGTTGATCATATTACTTTAATGAAGATGATTTATTCCAAAAATTATCCTGTTGGACTGAAGATATATTTACTTGAAGTAAATCAGTTCAATGCTGGTATTTCATTTTTCGTCGTGTACTTGAACTATTTATGATATTTTATTATTCCTTGCGAATTTCTAACTTCGATTTAAGAAATTCCTGTGTATCAAAATTGGGACTTTTATTCTTTGCAACAAATCATCGGAACTATGCACGACTGTATGCCCAACACTTATCTAGTATGACTTCAATTAGTCCATATCCTTTTCAAACACTTAAAAATGCATTTGCTGTAAATCGTTCCATGACATAATTCAAATGTAACATAGTATTTCTCTTTATTATAGACATGGCGCTTGATCAAAGTATCGAATGTTCAATAGACATACACGGAAAAAGTCATGGTCTGATCTCAGGAAAACTGAATAACGATTCAACTGATACTTGGATTCACTCATTTTCATTTCGTACTGTCCTGACCGTTGCATTACATGAAGTTTGCAGTATTGAAACCTCTTAGAATGGTGAGCATCGTAGTATATTATCAAAATCTTTAACAAGTCGTGTGGAAGACGATGGTATAGTCATGCGAAAACTCTTCTCTCAAATATATTCTCTTCTTTTTCGCTTACATAGGGTTATCAACTGAAATACAGCTCAAATTTCTATATATGATCCACATGGTCATTTTCTCTTTCACAAGTCTATTACAATCGTCTAAACAATATGGTTTTTTATCCTTCGAATTTTAATCTTCATAGGCTTTCTATCTTTGTATTTTCTGTATGATTTATGAATTTCATAGATGAATTAAAAACATATTAATTTACTTGAGTATGAGTTTTTTTTAATATTTTTTACCTAAAATAAAATTTTTAATAAATAAGATGTATCATAGAAACATAATATATATAGTTTATTATGTGTTGATATGGTAGACCTATACGTTGGCGCCATCTATAAATGTAATTCGCTTCTAATTTAAAAAAAATTAAGATATTGTAGGTGTTAATTCCTAGTTTATTACTATAATCATTTTTCCTGTGACCCGTACTCTCATTTTACATGTCGCCACCGTTACTCAGTTTGACTTTGATTGGCAATTCCATTCATGCTTCGTTTTATCAGATCACGTACTACATGTGCGTTATTTTGTTGGAAAATACAGAAACAATGAAAAGCATTTCAACAGATACGAGAAAATATGCATGATTTAACATCTATTCGTTACATTTGAAGTATGTACAATTTGGAAATATGTACCTACTTCATGTGAAGACATAAGATATTTAATTTTTAGTTTTTTATATAGAGAAAAATATGCAGGACTAATGTAAGTGAAGGTAACAGCTAAATGATTTTATAGACATGAAATTACGTGCTTCCAATCTGAGATTAAATAGTCATATTATTTATAAAAACAATCTAAATTATGATTGAAGTATATTACCGTAGCAACTTAACTATCACAAATTGCTAATCTATTATAAAACAGTAGAATACGAATAAATTCTTCCATCGAATTTGTCTAAAATTCATATTATTATAAAACCCCTTCGACATTTATCTTTTTTACTTTTTTTTATATGGTATGACCTATTGAAGAAGCAAAGAAAGAGAATGAAATGCATTCAGTTTAGTTGAAATATAAGAAAAGACGTTTCTACTCTTTTTATTTGATTTTTTGCTCCAATATTCTTATCAGTAAGACGCTGGTGGTCGCACATCATGTTTGCTTGACTCGTTAATATCATTCACTGAAGACTCTTATCAAACAATCTGCTTCAGATTGTAGAAAAAGGTATCTCTAGTATATTATTTTTTCTTCAAAAGATTTACATTTAAATTGTTAGGATTGGGTATGTTATTTCGTAGATCAGTAATTAGCAGTATAGTTACTACTAAATAAGATCGTAAGAGAAATTGACCAGAAGTTTAGTCAATCTAGAAAAAAATTATGATTAACAATCATTAAATATCACTGCAACTGATTCTATTATATGGTGAATTTCGATACTATTTTTGTAATCTTTTTTTAGATACTATTCCTTTTTCGTAACTTCCATACATTGAATAATCAATTGCGTATTCATGTCGCATTCAAACGCTACTCAAAATCCACGTGTTCTCACTATTGCCGATTCGTTCAGTGATGGCAGTGCTGGAGTTCAAGCTGATCTTAAAACGTTCGCAGCTTTATCAACATCTGCTATGTCAGGTAAGATTGAAAATAATTAAATATCATCCTTTTTTATATTGACTTAGACAACCATTTAATCTAGTTTTATTGATTTTTTTATAATAGTAATCACTGCCCTGGCCATTCGAAAAACTTCCAACGAAAATACCATTCATACCATACCTATAGATTTTATTTCATCTCAATTTCATACACTTGTCAATGATATAGGTGTCGATGCTTTAAAGATCGGTACGCATTCTTATCTGTTTTTTATTTTTATAAATTTATTTTTTCCTCATTTACTTTAGGTATGTTTCATTCGTCTTCTTTGATCAACTGCATAGTATCATTTATTACGAAGACAAAGATACCTATTGTAGTATTTGATCCAGCTATAATTATCACACAATTACCTGTCGATAATCTCGATATTCTACGCAATGAACTTTTGCCTTTTGTAACATTAATAACACCTACTCTAGAAGAAACAAGTATTCTACTTGGCCGCAATATTGTATCATTAAGTGACATGAAATGTGCTGCACAAGATCTACATCGTTTAGGTCCAAAATATGTTTTGATTAAAGGTGATCTTATGATTCCATCTGCATCGAAGCAGATTCAAGATGAAAAAGATATCAATGATGTTGTTGAAGACGTACTCTTCGATGGTATAAACATTACTGTTTTTAAAAGTCAACGACTACCTAAAAAAACTGAATACAGTATTCGATGTATATTGTCGGCAACAATTACAGCATTGTTAGCTCATGGTATCGATATGACGCGTGCCATACAAGATGCTATCACATATACTCATTCGATTGGACAGAACTCATCGAATTTTAATTGTACTCATGATGTACTCAAACATACGCTCTCGATGTGTTCAGATCAAACATCTAATGAATCTTCAAAATCAACAACGAACTCTGAACTTGTAATAGACGATGAACAGCAAGAGGTTGTATCAAAAGATCATAATGATATCGTGCATATTCAAAGTTACGGTTATATTCAAGTACCTCGTATGATTTCACAACAGCGATCGTTCATACAACTACTAAAAAATGAGTGCACACAAGAATGGGTACGTTTGTATTTCATTTTATGGAAAAATTTATATATTTACTGAACTTATTTTTGTTTAGTTCGATTATACTCATCATCGATTCGTAGAAGATATGGGTAATGGCACTTTACCACATACAAGTTTCAAACATTATTTAATTCAAGACTATATTTTTCTAACAAATTTTGCTCGATGTAATGCTTTAGCTGCCTACAAATCTAGCACTATGAAAGAAATTTTACATGCAGCAAATATTGTGTGTCATATTGGTCGTGAAAGTGAACTTCACATATCGTATTGTGCTGAATGGGGAATCGATCCTGAGAGTGTATCATCTATTAGAGAAGCTCGCCCGAATTTAGCTTATACACGATTCACTCTTGATTGTGGTATGAGTGGTGATTTACTTGATCTTTATGTGGCACTTTCTGCTTGTTTACTTGGATATGGTGAAATAGGAACACGTCTATTTGAAGATCCTAAAACTAAACAAGATTCACCGTATTGGAAATGGATTTCGAATTATGCTGCTGAACATTATCAAGTAGCATGTCGTGAAGGTGCAGACTTGATTGAACGTTTAGTTATTGACTATGGTGTATGGTATTCTACAGTTCGTATCAAGAAACTCATCGATATTTTTAAAACTGCTACAGAACTCGAAATTGGATTTTGGGCCATGGGTTTAAATGTCGAATGGTAAATGGTAACAAAACATTATTTCATAATTAAGTTTTGTTCCTAAGATTTATGAGAACGTATTACGTATTTTGAATTATTCATGGAATAAATCTTTTTTACACTTTCATAAGCTTTCATAATTTTAAGTAGTAGAAACATCGTTGTATTTCCACTATACAGTAGTGTAAGTTCGATTGGAAAAGCAAATATGTTGTCACGAGCAATGCTAATGGAGGTAATTATAGAAAATGCGTTCAAAATTCTTTATCAATTTCAATTATCATATGATATTTTATAAATAAAAAGAGCTTATGATAATTTTGATAAAAGCTCATATTTGATCGATGTTCTTAAAATGAACATTTCATGATTGTTATCCAATGTATATATTTGTCATATTATATTTATTTTATCATTAAAATAAAAAGTATATTTGAAATATAATGCTTCACTGGATTTAATTATATATATTCTGTTAGAATAATGTAGATTTATGAAAGTACATTTATTCAGAACAGTTTATGTGACAATATTTGAAAAACACATTCTGTAATTAAAAATTTATTATAAACATTATGAAAAAGAAATTATTGAAATACTTTTTGAAGACTACTTATTCCACAAGGGTACTTATCTAATTCACATTGCAATTAAAGAGAAAAAAACATCATGTGATGAATATAAAAATATAATCAACTCAAAGAATTAATAAAAACTTCTTCTAAAGGAAAAAAAAAGAAAACTGAACTAACATATACTGTTCATCTTACCCTCAAAATGTCTACATCAACTGGTCTCAATATAATTCATTTTACTAACAAATTGTCACAATATTCTAGCATTACTTTATTTGTTATTGGAACTATTGGAAATCTTCTCAATATTCTTGTATTCATTTCTCTGAAACTATTTCGAAATAATCAATGTGCATTCTATTTCACTGTTGAATCTATTTCAAATATTTTTCTCATTACGAATTTATTAGCTATTTACCTGCTGGCATCAATGGGTAATTATGATGTTGCTATTTTGTCTATACTCTGGTGTAAACTTCGATCAATTCTTTTTGTATCTTGTACAGTAATTACACTTTACACAATCTGTTTCTCTGCTATAGATCAATATCTTTCAACTAGTCATCTTTTCTTTCTCAGACAACTTTCAACTATTAAACTAGCACGTTGTCTCACTATTATTATTGTCATTATCTCATTATTACATACAATACCTTTTGTTATTTTTCTCGATATTCAACAAGGTGTTTGCACAGTATTCCATCCACAAATGGTAAACTATATTTCATATATTTACTATCCTGTTTTAATTGGTTTTCTACCGATGACAATTACGTTGATATTCAGTTTATTAGCATATCAAAATGTTCGACGAATTATTCGACGACAAATTCCAGTGGTTCGCCGTCGACTTGACCAACAACTAACAGCAATGGTACTTATTCGTATCATTATCTTCCTAATTTTAACTTTGCCATTCACATGCCTTCAAATGTATACATATCTTACAAAGATTACTCCATCATCAAACTCTTATGCTTTTGCTATTCAGAACTTAGTGTCAACCATTGTCGCTACACTTTTGAATTTGAACTATGCAGTAAGTTATAACAAATGATTTGTTTGTATATAATTTGTCTATTGCCATCTTTTTGAATAGATATCATTCTATATGTTTTACATAGCATTTCGACGATTTCGTCGACAAGTAAAGCATGTTTTGATTAAGAAATATTGGCGTCGATGTAAACTTTGGTGTTTTTCTGGTAAAAATCAAGTAGAGCCAGAACCAGTCATGAATATAAATTCAACTGATTCTAGTGGAATTATTGAATAAAGATTGGCATTTACCGTGTACAACACCTTTATCACAATCTCATAAACACATGTATAAAGCATCACTTTTTATTTCTCTCTAAAATCTTACAATACCATAAGAATATTTATGTATATGCACTTTATAACAGACGAAAACTCTTGATGGTATAGATTCATTGAATTTTCTGAAAATCATCTGTATGTGATAATTAAAGTTCTAATTGGTGGGTTTCTTGAGGATGTGGGTGTGCGTATAGGTATTAAATTGATTCCACCCACACCCTCCAGATGAGTCATGACAGAAGTGATTATTTAACAAATATAAATAGATATATAAAACGAGTTTTATTTAAAACATGTCCTATCATCAACTTAGGTCTTTATTAATTATTATTTCTCTTAATCATGTTCTTCTTCTTCGTCACAGAATTTCTTTATATCCAAGTCTAAAATAGAATGTCGTTTGACTAAGATTCATTTTATATAGAATTGAAGTTGAAAAACGATAGTTTTTATTATTGATGAGCATATTTTTATTGTTAATACATATACATATAGAAAAAAGAGAGAACTATCTTGAAGGTGTAGGTGTGGGCATGACATAGACTTACATTCAGCCAAACCGATACTCAAACCCTCAAGAATCAGCGATCGGATACGTAGTACAATAATTGGGTGAGAGTCGGTGGGCGAAGGAATGGGTGTGAGCGTGATGTAATCTTATATTCAGCCACACCTACACCCACCTATATCCACACCCCAATACCCATCCATCCCCATCCTTCCCGCTGCTCCACTCGCAGCTCGAAGGACACGAATAATAACACGCTCACTCTCTGTTACTCTTTGCAAAGTGAATTTGCTTCTCTTTTTTACTTTAAATTTTGTAAAAAAGCCATTTCATACCTTCAACTGAATTCAAAAATCGAAGGTAATCAGCAGAACAGAAGAAAAAAAAGAGAGGCGACGTATAATACATTTCAAATATGCCACCTCACTGTAATGCAAGAAGAGCAAACGAATCGCTGAAAAAAATACCTCTTTGACAAGAACAGAAGTAGTCAAAGCCAGAACAAAAACACCATCGCAATTTATTTGGTAAGGTTGATTTTCAATATTTGATTGTGGTGGCTTGCTTATCAGAAACATCGGAGAGGTTTCATATATTGTTTTACATGTTATAAAGAGAACGACGATATAATCCAGAAATAGAACTCGTACTGGTTACTATCGCCCGACCTGTGTATCTTTTTTTCTCTGTTTTAATCGCATAAAACTGCTTAAACTTCGGGATCTCACGAGAAAACCTCTTGAGGTGAGGAAAAGCTTTAGGATCTAACTACTCTTGTCGTATATATCCCAGTAAGTAGTAAAATATCCTAAATTGATTCATACCCTTAGCGCCTTCTAGAGTAGTGATGATAACTTTATGGGTTCGTTGAAAAAGGCTGCACAAAGAAATGGAAAAGGTATTTAGAAAAAAGCTGAAGGGTTGTAAACGAATAGAAATTCCATTGATGACAACCGCTACAACTCAACCACTTGACGATGTTTTTCACAGCGAGTATAAAGTTACTGCTCGTCATGCTTGCGATCGAGTCATCCTCGACATGCTGATGTCGGGATGGCTCAACGGAATAACCTCATCAAACTTCTGGTCCCAACGGTATGCCTGTGATAGGTTATGCATAATACAAGCGTGGTTATTTCGACAATCAACCAGATCAATTTCAGACGATAACAGATTTTTGCTTTAGATTCCGTCAATAGCATTGTAGCGTTACTTTTTCATATATTATCATAGAGAGACTAAGAGCGTATGTCAATAAATCGTAGTTTGAATGAAAAAAATTAAAATCATACACAAAGTTGTGCTTTTCGACGAAACCATACAATAGTCATAACTTCTCTAGAAAACACTACGGGGGTGAATCAACTAAGGATATTTCACTACTAACTTGGGTCTACAAGAGAGCAGTAATCTGAGCCGCAAAGCTTTTTAACATCTCGCGAGAGGTTTCCCTGTCAATACCATGTCATACACAATATCGACGAAAATTTCGATGAAAGTTGATGAGCTCAGTTATCGGTATGTCAAATTAAAATCGCAACAATGGGATCTTAGAAAATCGTATACCTGATCTTGTGTGATTGTGTTACATCAGGTAGAGTGTGGGTGTGAGTGATAGATGAAAAAAATATTCATCGACATTCACACCGTCTTTTACATGTCTTTAAAGAGAAAATACATTCTATTCCGCGATGCTCGATATTGCGGAACTGGTTCCGCCCTTGAAGTCAGTTTCGACCCATTCTAGATATTCCACAGAGAAATTCCTTCCCGCCCTCCCTTACATACATTATTGTGTGATCAAAAATGAATTCCCAGAATCTGTAAGTAATTCCGGGATGTGAGTGAAATCGAAGTCGGATGCAATTACGGAATGCATCGGAACTCACTTCTACGCATCGGATGAAACTGCTTCCGCAATGTCAAATATTGTGGAATAGCATGACTGCTCTCTAAAGAAATAAAGAAAGCACATTAAGTCAAATCTGGCAACCACGCTGACCAGTCGAATGCAACGCCTCTTCCATTCCAGTAATTTGAATTTTTTACGGATGGCTCTCGGTGTCGATCCATCTTTTCTTTACTCACACCCACGCTCAGATCCACCCACACCTACAGTCAAAGCCACACCCACATTATCAACATAGTTCAGAACTCCATTCTTCATATTTTTCATGAAAGCTATCGCAGTATTTTTGTTATTTATCCCGTATACGGACAACTGCCTACACTATAATGTTTGGAAATAAAGTTATCTTAATCAGCATCTGTTTCAGATTCTGAATCCAGATAAACGTTATAAATATCGATATTTAGTTCAGTTGGTTGTATATCAAGATCGTCAGGAGAAGCTGGAGCTGCCTGAAACTCAATAGCCCAGCCTAAGAAGAGAAATATAACTGCAATGACTTGTGATCTTTTTACCGGCGAAACTTACTTATATCTTCAGAGCAAACGAAACAAACCAACGGCTTTTCTTCATTATTTAGTTGAATTAAACATGCCAGAAGTTCATCTTGATGATACACGCTATCACAGGCACCGCAAGGTATTCGGTTTACCTTTGGTCCTATGTACTGCTCACAAAAAGGGCACTTCCTAGAAATCGATATCAACAAACGTGTTCGAAAATAACGTTACAAATAACTTGAATGATTACATACGGTAGCGGTGACAAAATCTTAAGAAGCCATGCTAAGAAAGACAACTTTGAGTGAAAATTGAGCTATTTTATATCAGACACATACCCATATCTGCACGGCAATTGGGGCAGTTCGGTCCACGTCCTTCATTACGCCTTATATTTAGCCACCTGAGTATACAATTTCTATGATATATTTTTGAACACGCTCTGCATTGGTCACTCGGATCCACACGTTCTATATTTTCGAGACAGATAGAACATAATCTAAAAGAAATAGTAATACAGCGTATGAATCAAAGACTAAAGACGAACTGATCCTAATCGATATCGATCGACTCAATCCAAACCAAGCTCAGGCTGTGTTTTTCTCGAATGTGTATTTGAACTCAAGTAGACCTGGCCTGACTTCGAAAACAAAAAGAAATGCCAAAGTGAACTCAGATCATAAATGACTCTATAAAGTATGATGCAGTCAGAAAAGATGAAATGAGTTCTAAATTAGACATGACCCAAACCCAAACTCAAATTCAAACCGTTTGGGAGTTTGAGTTTGGCTTCATGAGTTTGGGTTTGGATCTACTTTAACTGCAATCAATTTATTCAAAATAGTTCCTTTTACAGATTAAAAAAAGCACAAACCCAAACCCAAACTCAATACTCAAACTAAAACTCACCAAATCCAAACAGTTTCGGTTTGGGTCATGTCTAGTTCTAATTGAGATTTCTACATCCTAAATTTAGTTTTAGTAAGTTACAATCTATTTTTCTCTCCCTCTAATAAATACATTCACTGTAGGGTCCTGCGGGAACGATTTTTTCCCGCATTTTCCCGTCCCGTTTTCCCGCGGAAACGGGAACGGGAATTCCCGTGATAACTTCGCGAACGGGAACACGGGAACGGTAACGATATCAAAAGTTCCCGTTCCCGTAAATTGTCTTAACTTGATTCCTATACATTTATATGTCTGCACAATTAGCTTTCACATAGAGAATTTTTAGCCAATCGATGTTCCAATCATAAATTTAGCTTTACTTTCATATCATATTTACTTTACTGAACACTGTAAGGTGTCGCAAGAAGCTAGTGTACAAAAATGATAGTTTTTCATTATTGCTTACGGGAACGGGACTACGGGAACGGGAACAAAAATATTTTCACGGGAACGGGAACGGGAAACGGGAACAATAAAATTTTCTTTCGGGAACGGGAACGGGAAACGGGAATGAAAAAAAATCGTTCCCGCAGGACCCTAATGCCGAGTCATGCACGATTTGTGATGATCATGATTGAATTCAATTATTTCTGAATATATTGTATTTTTTCATTTAATTTAGGAAGGAAATTGTTTTATTTTATCGAGTAGATTTTATTTTTATTTTAATAGTTCGCTTGGATGCGTCTGTTATAATAATACCGTCATTTACTTTCCAAGAATATTTCTAATTATCAAGAAAATCCTTTGAATAGAAATTATATTTCAATCCTAGCACGTATAATAGAACAT